GCCATTGCAATCAGTCATTGCGAGATCCAAGTAATTTCAAACATCATCTGAAAACGCGATGCAAAGTAGTCTAATGATTAAGCCTGAACCTAAGCTTAAGCTCAAACCTGGCTTAAGCCAGAGTGTGTGTGTGTATGCATAAGTTGCTCAGCATCAATTGAAGAATGCTCTGGTTATCACCATTAGCTCTTAAAGAAGCCTGAAAATAGTGGCTCATCCTCTGTATAATTTTAAACATTCCTCGAATCGCACGTATCAAGTAACTATGCAATGGTTTCACAAAATCAAGCGTCATAAAACGTCATTTGAAGTGGTAGAGTGCAGATGAAATTGGCTATTGGATGGTGTAGATGTTTCTTTGAGCATCAAAATCCTTCATTAACCACCTCCTAACTTCGTGGCGTCCCATCACGTAAAAGTATGCAGTTATGACGGCAATATCCTTGATTTTCACGAGGCAGTTCCCCTCGCTTTCCTAACGTCCACTCATTTTCCCTGAGAAGCTACTTCGGTAGGCGCTCAATAATTGCGCATTGCCAATCCTTCAGGAAACGCCCACGGACAAGTAATCCTCTCTGGACGCAAAATCCTGGATGACCCTGTTAGGACTCGAACCTGCAGTCTTCGCTTTAGGAGAGCGACGCCTTATCCGTTAGGCCACAGGCCCGACTGTTATGTTTGCCGTTGTATGATGTATTGAAATTGATTCATTCCAGTTAACAATTAGCTGAATACTGGTGCCTGTACGTAATATTATAAATAATTATGAGCGATCCTATTATACAGTTATAATTTTATTATCCTGTTGGTCGGTAATTGATAATGCGTTGTGATGAGAGCATCAACAACAGTATTCGCAAGTTTATCGGAGAACCCGATGAATTCCTTATACCAAGTAATTGATAAATTGAATTCGCAGATAACAGAAAAGTTGATATGATCTAATGATCGTGGTACAAATATATGATCTAAACACATCCAACTGTTCGTGCATATCACTTTTTAAATTCATTTTCGGATCTTAACTTTACTTTTTATATGATACATTCATGAGTAATAAAGTTAATTCCAGAAACAACAGTAACAATTCTACCAAAAGCAGATAAAAATGACAATCACCAATGCAATAAAAGATTAATAACAACTCTCTACATGATCGATCATTTGATAATGACACTAATCAGTTGTTTGCACTATACCATCACAACAACTCCCCTTAAGTATTTGATACATCAAATCTACATTGAGATGTTCCCTCAGGTGTGCTGCTAGTTTATCATATTGTTCCTCTTTGAACTGTGCATAATCAAACTCGGTCTTTTTACTCAATTCGCCGAGGTGACCTTTTAAAAGGAGATCGATAAATGGTGCATTATCAAGAATGCCATGAATATAAGTGCCCATGCAACGCCCCTCTGCCACGTAACAACCCTCCTCAGTGCCATCATCTAAAATATTCAACGGTGTAACTTCACCCAACATCTCAGTAATGCCGTTATGTATTTCATAACCGCTACACAGCTGATCACTTCCGAACACCTTAAATTTCGTCTGACACGTTGTTTTAATATTGTTCATCGTTGTAGTGACTGGTAGCAGAGAGAGACCTGGTAAACAACGAATATCGCTTTCGACTGCATTCGGATCTCGCACCTCTTTACCCATCAACTGATAACCTCCACAAATACCCAGAACGGTTGCATTGCCGTCACGATATGCTGATACTATTGCCTTCGCTACACCATTCGCACGTATTTCTCGCAGATCATCGATGGTATTTTTAGTGCCAGGTAGTAAGATGATATGTGCCTTCTGGATTTCACTTACATTATTCGTGTAGAAGAGGTGCACTCGTGGGTCACGTTCTAAGCTATCGAAATCGGTGAAATTGGATAAATGTCGCATCAGTATAACTGCAACATTGATCTTGTTTTGACTCGAGAGAGCGTTACGATGACGTGTTTGCAGTTGCACACAATCCTCTTCTTCAATGTAAATATCTCGATAGAATGGGATAACACCCAACACAGGTACACCACATATCTCTTCGAGCATTTTAACTCCCGAATCAAACAATCGAATATCACCTCGAAATTTATTGACAATTATTCCCTTGATGAGACGACGATCTATAGGTTGCTGCAGAGCGATAGAGCCGTAGAGAGATGCGAAAACACCACCGAGGTTGATATCTGCGACCAGAAAGACGTCTGCTTGCGCGTGACGTGCCATCGGCATATTCACCAAGTCTCGATCTTGCAGATTCAATTCAGACACACTTCCTGCACCCTCCATCACGATCGGGTTGTACTTGTGCGTTAAGCGATCGAAGGCTGCACATACCTGAAAGAAAATTAAAAAGATAAGATAAAGCATAGCGTTAAAAGTAATTACCTGTGTTCGTAACTCATCAATTCGATCCTTACAAAAATATGTCGATGCCGTACTATTCCCAATGGGACGACCATTCAAGACGACCTGAGATGTGCAGTCGGTTGTTGGCTTCAGAAGAATCGGATTCATGTCAGTTTCGCATTGTACACATGCAGCTTCGGCTTGCACGGCTTGCGAGCGACCGATTTCGAGGCCATCGGGCGTAACGAATGAGTTCAGGGCCATATTCTGCGCTTTGAATGGGGCTGGATGATAGCCGTCTTGCTTAAATATACGACATAGTGCTGTCGCTAATACACTTTTCCCAACATCACTCGCTGTTCCGGCCAGCATTACAGGGTGCAGACGAGTCATCTCCATTCAACTCTTTCCAATAATTATCTCCTCAAAAAATACAACAAAACCATTAACTGCTCTCCTCAAAATCATAACCACACGTGAACTCATGAGCACGCACGAATTCACAATCCATTCTCCACTGAACATGCAAGAGGTCAATGTGTTTCCTTCTTTGCTAAAAAAACGTGATTTACCAATGAATGAAATGAAATCGTAAATTTTTATAAAGAATGAAATGGAAAATTCAATAAAATGGAGCGAAAATCGATGGAAATGTGAACAGAAAAGAAATATATGAAGAAGTGAGAGTAATATGGAAATAATGTTCAATTTGAAAATTTGTGAAGCGATAGCAAACTTCTGTGTGATACAAATATAGCTTTCATCTTTGTTGTTTTACTCTCTCTTTCCAATACTCTTTCAACATAGCTCTCAACGTTCCAGCTAAAATTGCTCCTTTTACAATTTTCAGTGCTAATTACAACACAATCGAAATACTGATCATTGTTTTTTTAAATAAATTGTTTGCAAATCCCGATTATTCTCTCGATCCCGGGATTAAGATTTGATCCCGGAATTGGAAAGCAGTTTTTAAATATAGAAGCGTGACATGTTCAAAGCATTATTTTTGAAGCAATGTGTTCATTATTAATCAGAAAGCAGTTTCATTCCCATGAAATTTCGCAGACCTCAGCAACTCCTTCAACTCTCCCGATCAATTAATTCTTTCTACCTCAAAAAAGCAATCTCTATAAATCTAAACACGCTCTTATGGCTGACGAACTCATTTTCTACCTTCTGAGAATGAAAAAAGTGGTGTTTGCGACCATATTGGCGACTAATGATGTTGCATAAAGGAGCTTTAGTGTCTCATAAGTAATTTCTGATACTGCTTAAGAAAGCATTCGTCGAGTTTCAAAACTGCATCAATAACTTTAATTAACGAATAATGAATGGTGACCGCACATCAAATATTAGCAAGCAATTTATACTTCACGATGATTTTTGTGTTTTCTGTTCCAATGAAAATACCTCAGTAGAACACGTGATACCCACTTCATAACCCGAATTCACTCCGTTGTATCAGTCACTGAAACAATTTGTTCAGTTGTTGACATACTGCTTATAACCACCCCTCGTTTCATATGTCCATCCAAACAATCTTTCTTTTAACTGATCCTATTCCATTTCACTCGCCATTTCAGTTCATCATTTACGTTCTCATCAAACTTGAGAACAACTCATTTCAAAATTAATTACAAAGGATGTACTAACTAACAACTGCTCTAATATAATAACGTTGTTGAATTCCATGTTTTTGCACTCGTTAAATCTGCTAATAATTAAGTGATAGTCAACATCTAGTTCGAACCATTGATATTTAGCTAGTAGGATGATTGAATGACTCGATGTTGTGTTCGTGCTAAACTTATAATAATTGACTTTTGATAGTCAGTTGTTCAGAATATTACACTTTATTATTGTATACTTGATGTGAAATGGAATGCTTCATTTGAAAGATTACATGCTTGCTGGATAGCAATAATCAGAGCTAACTACTCACTATTAAACTCAGCCAGCTCGAATTCATACGTTTCAAAAATTCTCAGTAATTGTTTGTTACTTCAGCAAATCATAACTTGCGATTAGTGTTTGCAAAATCCCGACGATTTTTCAATATCATCAGGTCCGATAACTTTTGAAATATAAAAGTATCACGTGTTCAGCACATCCTCGTTCATTTATAATTAATTTTGCAAATCATACACACAATAGTATTTTAAACAAAGCATTCACATCAGAAAACAGATACAATTCAGATATAACATCAAGAATTAAATTTTCTGCAACAATATCTTGACTTTTTCTGTAAATAATTTCAATGTATTAATAATCGTGTATCACAGTTCGTCATGAGATTCAATCATTCGGGTATTCAAAAGAGGTGTTTGTATTACCGATTAACATCAGATCAAATCAAGAACTGCGAGGCAAGCGTTTAACTGACTGATCACCTCATTGATAGAGAGTGCTTTCGGTGTTGCCGAAAAAACTAGCCTAAAAGTCAGGACGACATCACTCACCATCCATCTGATTCTTGTCGAGACGACGAACATCACTCACTTTCCATTCATTCAATTCCTTCTCTCATTTCCAAATTTCATTCAAATCTCAAATTCATGGAACAAAACATTATTGATTAATCTGATGTGTCGAATCAGTTAAGGTAGGGTGCAACAGTTAAAGTAGAACAGCGCAGTAGCAATCACATTAAATATTCATGCATTTTCACGATAATCATTAGGCTCGCCTCAGTCGTCACCTATTACACGTAAATAAACATTTTATGCATATATTTATACGTTCACTAAAAGATAACTCCTTGGCTGCTTCAGTCGTTAATCCAGTTTGCATTAAGTTCACTCACTACTTTTCAAGATAACACAGAAGCTGAATATGCTGCATGATGAGCTAGCAAGAAAAAGAATAAAAAGAAGAACTCACAACCAAGCAACAATATCTCACTCAAGTCCCTTTCCAATATTCCTCGTCACATCGATAAATTTTTCCCCAACGCAAAGCATCGAATCCAAACTTTTGCCATCCATCGATTCACTCTGGCAATAATAAGCTCCTCTCTCAGAATGCACATCGCTCAATATTAAGTAATCAAGCGCACATTCGTTCATACTTCGTTGTGTGTAACTTGTAATCCGAATCACTCACAAACAAGAACTAACTGATTGCAGTCCTAAAATAAATGTCCTCGTGGCAATAAGAAGTTGGTGTATCGATGAATTAACGAGTTCGTTTCAATGGAACGTACCCTAGTCATAATAGTTATAATGACACCATTAAGAATGTTACAATAATAATGAATGTTGATCAGAAAAAAATCACATGCAAACAAACAAACACTCCGTACATTCAGTTGGTACTTTGCAGAACGCGAATGCTTGAGGTGAGGTGCAGCATTGCAACGTGATATTTCTATATGTAAATTGCTGGTGTTCAATCAATTAACTGTTGCAACTCGAGTTACTATTGATTGGTGCTTACGACTGACAAATGACCTCTCCAGTTGATATCATCCCAAATGAATATCATCTCTCAATTTCTCCAATTGATTCCCAAATGAAACTTATCTAAATCGCCTAAGGTGATCTGCCATTTCATAAACACAACACACTTTCACATCGCTTTGCAACAGTGTCATAACACCAAGTTTCTTCTAAAAACTTGATTCAAAATCTTCAGTCTGTTCAAACTCAGTAACTCGATCCAATCTGTATTCAGTACCGCTGAAGTCTGTACATGCAGTGGGTTGACCTTCTTGCAAACGAATTTTAATCAGTGTCCATTAAGCAGAATGCATAATGCTAACCACATTTGCGATGTTAAAACGACATGACAAAATGAACTGAGCAATAAAGAAATAAAGAACAACAGTGCTACCTCCCGCCCATCAGTTCATCCATCAACATCCACATCCACTATCTAACCTTCCACAAACCCCTCTATCCATGTCCATCTCATCATCAAATCGAGATCACAACCGCGTTGCATTCATTTACTTATCTTCCTTTATCCATCTGAACCACATCAAATATCAAACTTCATCCATTTCCATTCCTCACCTAACTGCTACAACACCCCACCCATCCATCCACGTTTCACTGCCTCTAGCGAAATACCATCTTACCTTATAACAACAACAATAAACCCTGCTTTGTGCCACCATCGCAGTACTCTTCTAACGCTAACCTCTAAACTCTCGTTGATATTCCGCCACCTAAGCATCGGTACGGGTGGATGAGTGGATCAAGAATGTCTCACCTAAACTCAACTGTTCGTTTCCGTTAGATGATAAACCTATGGGTAAGTATATCAATAAAATATATTTGATATGAAACCATATTTTCAAAATGACAACAAATCAAATGAAAATGATAAGACGTATTCACAAAGGTTGGTGTTGAAGAGGAGGCATTTCGGATGTTTGGATGCACTCGCCAGCAGCAGCAGCACATCTATTCACTCATCCAACCTGTCTATCTTTTTCATTCAGTTTTGACTCGATCATTCTTAAATGAAAACCGTTCTTTATTATGTGCTATAATGAGATGCGATTATTGGCTATGTATTTTACATTTATTGAACTTATCCAATAATGAATATAAAAAAGAACTGGTCCACATTCGATTCCAAATATGACTATGAAATCAACTTTATCTCTGATTCAGTTCGAAGTCAGTATTCCAATGGAGCTTATTGTCCGAGTGTACGAAATAACGATGGCTACTTGATATTATGCCATGTGATCGACTGTTCATCATTATGATCACTCGATCGCAATTAAATTTTTTGAACAGCTAGGGAAATTCGGGGAGAGCCAGCCTCTGCCACCAGTTGATTTCTGTAGTAATTATGAAACAAAAGAGAAGACACGACGTAAAATAGTAATAATTAGTGTTAACACTAACAAAAAACAAAAGGTGGAAAATAGAAGAGTAAATAAATGATATGAGAATGAGATTGATGGTGATCGTTGATATTATCATTTGACATGCGATACAAAACGTACATTCGCTTCGATTTCGAAATTTTTGTTTATTTGTCAGGTTTTGAATTAAATTATTACTCTCATCCATTCATATTCACCTCAAATTATATTAAGCAAGCGCTAAGGGCATGCCCGATAACACAATTCCAATCTTTCGAATACATCCACCAAAACACTATCATTCATCAGAAAATGTTTACGATTACCATCCATAGGTACTAATGATCGCTATTATCATTGTTATTCCATGTTCAGTCGCTGTATTAAACATTTATTAATAAATGTGACCAATCAATCATATTAATCAAGAGTTATCACCACACAGTTATTATCACCATTCTCGACAATCACGACCTCTGCACATACCTCTGCAAATAAATTAAATGTATTCAAGTGATTAATCCGAACGACCAATAAAATTGCAATGAACGACTATCAGCTCTATTGCTTGCGCCCCAACGTTAATTACATTATATAAATTGTTCGATCGAACAGCTTCGTGCATATTGTAAGTCGATTCATAAACAATAAAGTGATTCCGATGCACCTTCGCTGCATATAATTCGTTTCCTTACTCACCTCCCGAATTGTAATATCTGTGATCTATTGATTATTCATCGGAACACGACCAGTAACAATGACGCGTTGCAATGCTATCTTTATGTCCCACATCTTCTTCATTGAATCTTCATCCAATTTATTAACATCATCAACTCCTCGCTCTTTCATTATTAGTTAAAAAGCCAACTCCAACTGATAACTACCCTAAAGATTTACTTGACTACTGTCAACTGCTGCTTGGATTTTCTCCCTGCGTATTTCTTGCGCCGAACTCTGAATAGATTCATTCTCTAATCGCTCATCATAATCTATCTCGAGGTCAGTCTTTTTAAAAGTCATCATCGAGCCATACTCGTTCTGCCAACATCGTAATTCCAGTAAAACACTCCATCAAATGTTCTAGCCAGACTTCGGATCCAAGCTAGATGTCCTCCTACCTGCGACGTGCTATAAATTGTTGTTTCTGTGCGAAACAACGTCGTAATCGCACCTCATCATGTGATGATAGTGATGACAATGAATACGATGTTAAGACTGCTATTGTTCCATCACCACACGTCTGTTCTACCACATCCAATAACAAACCCTATTCGAGCACAACCTCACCCGCACCACGCATTCAACGACCATTCAATTGGCAGTTGGATTTGAGCACCATTTTCTCTGAATCACTCGAATTCCAAGATGAGCAGCAACCTGAGATGCCAAGTAATGCTAATGCAACTGCAAACAATAATGATTATGAGCACAACGTAAGTTTTTTTCAATTTGCACAGCTTTTTCGCATTTATTTTGTTGATATTCCTGCTTATCTTTTCATTTCGGCATCCCTTTCATTGGTCGACCCCAGAATGCATTTGCATTTTATTTCATCGAGAGAATATTTGGTGAATGATCGTTTCCATTCTCTTACGCTTAATTTCTGCGGGTTCCCACTACCCTTTCGCTTTCCTATTATATTATGCCTTTCCTCATTCACTTCAATGATTCATATTTTACCACTTCCTTGAATTGCATTCCTAACGCATCTCGAAAGGATTTCTATAAGACGACTTGCCACGAAGCCATCGCTGAGTTCGAGTCGTATTCCTACATAATGGCCGTAAATCTATAGACTTGTCCAAAGACTATCATCGTCTGTCGTATCCAAAGAATGCAATACTAAAACATCTGGATGCATAATGCCCCGAATACATCCACATTCGGATGAATCCCTCTATTCGTATGTCTTCACTCGTTTCCTTCCTTCATTCTCGTCAACATTCGTATTCTCTTCCTCCATTGCCACTCGCTCGCGTGCCTCCCTCCTCTATTGCCAAGATAAAGTGATGCGTTATTCACAACGCTGATGAGTAATCTTATATCGAACAAATGCTTGTTACAAATCTGTGATTGCTGTTCTATCGAATGATTATTCATTTTGTTTTCCGCATTCATTTACTTATAAAACGGACATTTGCTTCCATACATTTGCCGAGTGTTGAATATTTTAAACCACTTTATTCGATCTTCACTTCCCATTAAAATTTCATCGTTTCCATTGGAAGTTTCACAGTATTCAACAGAAGTAGTGAATTTTCGTCCTCCAACGTTGTTTAAGTCCATGTCAATCTTTACGAATTCACTGGGATATCCTCCGGATAAAAATAGGCTAAGTCTAGTCATCAGAAGTCTTTTATTAAGCTTGTTGAACTATTTGTTCGTTGAAAATGCAATTTTCAGTTCATTTTCACGTAATCAAGCAATGTATTGTATAAACATTTCAAATTTTCGTTCGATTTTTCGGTATTCATTTCATTCTTTCCGAAATAAGAACGAAGTGGAGTCGAGTGTGATTCATTCATGCATTGTTGCCGGTGACGTTGATATGATATTGCTGTGTGCATATCAACGCGCATTCAAAGCAACTAATGTTCTGGTCAACAATAACCGTCTCATGAAGTTGTTATCAATTTATGTTCAGTAAATGGTTGCGACGTATTTTATTGTTTCCTTTCATTCCTTGATTAAGCTTGCATGCTTTGTGTGTTGTTGAATGGATTGATCCTTTACGGTTGCTCTTTCATTCCAATTCATTTTAACGTTTAATCTTCGTTATAATTAAGATTGCTTACGGTATTGATGCTCTTAGGTATTCCTTGAAATTCAATCGTGTTTCTGTTTCAATTTTCGTTCTCAGAATTAACCAAACTGTCAACCTCATCAGTTTTTACGAATCGTATCAAACTTTTTCTGTCTATTATATTTATGAAACGGTCTAAATTTAGCCAAAATTTGATATTTATTTTGAAACTGATTAGGAATTTTAGTTTGTGAGAGATTCCATGTGTGCCACACGTAGATCTTATCATAAATGAGATTCTACAATCCACTTGAATGACCTATTAATAATTGCAGGTTTGCCAAACCCATCAACCCGCGCTATTGTTACCACCTTTACAAATGAGTGCGCCATCAGCCGATTTGGAACGATTTCTGCAGAGGTTGGAGTTGGTCACGACTCGACTCGAGGCAATCAGTGCTCAGAAACCGACACTTGCACCGAAACCTGGCAGTAAGGGCGCATCACCACCTGCTCAGAATGGTTGGTGAATTAGAAGGAAAAGCATATGAAAGGGGTGGGAGAGGGTTAAGTGGGAAATGTGGTGAATGAGGATTAGGGAAACGAAAGGGATGATTCGAGTAGGGCTGAATTGCGGGATTTCAAGAAGGGATGTTTGTTTCGGGTCGAACATGAATAGGATGCTCAGCGAAACCTACTTTTCTTATAGAAGCTGTGAGAAGAACTGCAAATGAACTCTTCAGATGCATAAGGTAAAGGTGTTTGTTAAAACTGATCTCATCCCGGCTAATCTCAACACCTCTATAAATGCTGAAACGTCATCGTTTGTATGCATAATTTCTTCTCAATATTCCATCTATCACATTGAACCAATCACATAGGTGCATCCATCCACAACGATAATACCACCTCAAAACTGAGCAGTTTATATTATAAATGCAACGCGCAAAGTGCTTATATCCGCTCTATACGCAGCCTCTCATCACTTATCTTCTACCATATCACAACCCAAGTCGTTATTTGTTATCTTATTTTCATTGCTTCCGTTCTTTTCATTGTTCAAATTTCGACATGAATAAAACGGAGTTACATCTCTTATTTGTTCTTATTCATTTGTCCACAATTTGGTTACCGAATAATGCTGTCCGTCGCATCTTGATAGATGCATCAATTTCTACACATTACTAGCTCATTTGCAATTAAATTTACTTCCTTAACCAATTTCTGCTTGTCCACATATTCCCAATCTGCCAGCGATATGTACTTGTTGATTTAGTGCACAGTTTCGTTGCAGTCAGGTGCAGTTAGGTCTTGCTTCATTTGCTGGTGGTTCAGCCGATCGATACGAAGCCAATAGCTATCATATCGTGATATTTAAGCTGATGATTATTACCAGATGTGCTACTTATTATTTTTACATCTGATATCAATTCAAATTAATCACTGAACTGATTTATGTGATGATTGATACGTAGGTTCGTACATATATTACTTGAGGGTGTTACAGCTGTAGCATTAACAACAAGAATTTGTGTTCGTATCGGAAAGATGAGATGAAAGACTGCTTTAAAATGAAGCAGAAGGTTTAGTGAATTGAATGTGTTCTAGCACATGGTTACTTTAACAAACGATTTAGCATCTTTCGAGAAGGATGAAGAAAAGAGATACGACAAACTGTATGTAGCCGATAGGAGCTGAGGAGAAAGCTGAGGCTAAATGTTGTAGGTGTATATCTATGCGGTATGATGCATACAAGCAACAATATCTCTGCACATATATTATCCACATATATCACCCAAATATCCACATTAACCACATCCCTGCTAAGACTACTTCAACAAGGCACTAATGTTATTCAGAGAGAAGTAAAGAAGCAGATATAAGCTGAGCTTTACCTCATTCCTATACAATACTTCAGTTTCAAAGCAGTCTTTCTCTCTAACTCCTGGAAAACTAGTAGTACCGTTATCAGTATCACATCCACTTGATTTTGTATAGCATTCAATCTATCTTTCTTACTGCATTACTTCATTGTAAACCCAACTCACCCCAAACCTTCATGCTTTAATTTCACTCCTTCAATTCACCTCAGATCTATCTTACTATTACACTTCTCTTTCAGTCCTCGATTAGTGGATCCCACTCTACCAAGGCCAGTGCTATTGCTCTTGATCTACTCATAGTTCTGATATAATAGTATTGACAATTGAATGTTAGTTATAGTTACCGTAATATCCTGATGGCTTCGTAGTCATATGCATCAGAAAATAATGCTTTGATGCTCAGGGTTGTTATCTGTTCTTCATAGTTCATGTCTATCCAGAATATAGTATACTTGGTCTTAGAGGTATTTTCGCAGTCGGTTCAGCTTAACCTTTTTTTGCAAACTGAGGAAAGCGGTAGCTGAGATGAAAGGATTACAATCTGCATTAAAAAACTAGCCATTGAAATCAATTGTTCATTTTTGTAAATTGAACTTTCAATAAGTTCAGAAAGTATTTATGGGTTGATCATTATGAAATGTTTTAAGAAATTCCCTGGGTTTGTTGCGCTGAAGTGTTTTGCGCTAGGGTGAGGGTGATAGATATGTGTACTCGATGAAGATAAATAGACGAATAAATGATTGCAGTTCGCATAAGGATGTGGTTATATGATATTGTAGTTCAGTTGATGACTTCGTTATTCATATTGCTAACGACTCATCTTTTGCAAATCCAGAACGAACGTTACAACTTTCGAGACTTAATTTCATCTCGTATTTTGCATTGTCGTTGAATATAGCTTTTGTAAAGTGATCGTAAAAAATATTCATTCCTTTGCAAAATCATAAAAATTCGAGATGCTTCACTTCTTCTTTTAGTTCACTTTCTCGAAGGATTATTTCAATGATTCGTTCTGTTCACTTCAAAATAAATTGAAGTTCGTTTCTTAACTGCGGCTGAATGCTGCTCTCAACCTGCCATCTACAGATTTATTTTGTCGATTTTGTTGCAAACAAACTTCATTCATTCTTTACCAGCAGTAGTTTATGAGAGGCTTTGTTCAGTTATGTGTTCGAATCAAGTTAGATAGTTTGGATCTGGTTCGTTATATTAATAGTAGCAGTTGCAGTGTTTGTCGTAGGCTTCATTTTGCAAAAATGGAGACTCGGATTGCTACTTGTTGTATTGAGTGAATTGCTGTTTACCTTCACTTCCAGATAATTTCACTAACCTATCCACTCATCGAGTCAGTGCGAAAAGATACGAATTTTGCAAAAGTTTTGTTGTATGATGCTGAAAATAATGATTAAGTATATACATTTAAGAATAATTCTGAATCTGCTTTCAAGGTGTGAACTTTTTTTCCTCCGATCCTAGATTTCGATCTTAAGTTTTTGAATTTGTAATCCTAAGCCCTCTAGTGAAAATTGCTTGACGGGATCAGTCAAGAAAGTTTATGGATGGACTTGACAGTTCAAAAACTTAAGATCGTCAGTGTCAGGTTGGAGTTTTTTTAGGTTGTTTCGTTCGAGTTCAAGATGAGGAACTGTTGCGGATATCGCATACGAAGATGTGTGCATGATATATAATAACAGTTTGCATTTGCGTGCTTTTTAGACGGAAGCGGAAAGATGTGTTCAGATTGTTCGAAAGAGTGATGGGAGGTGCTGATCAATTAAAGCGATGAATCAGTTAATCAGGAATAACAAGTGTTAATACTTAATGTGCCACAAAGAACCAAACCACAATATTTGATATTCCACTCAAAGTTTTAGTGAACCATACTGATTATGATGATATCGAATCGATAAGTGTAGTTTATGAACATATTTCAACGTTTGTCAGTCCGATCTAATGCAATTCGATGAAACGAATTCAAACAAAACGGAATAATGATTTTGGAGAAGGATTCACATTCCAGAACAATATTTCAGTCAGATTTTTCATCAGCTGTTCATTCACTTCTTATAATGCAGCTGTTGGCCATTTGTAATTCCATTCGCCATATTCTCATCCTTATTCCACGAATTCTTGTTATATGACGATGGTTGAAGCAAGTTTTGGCTATTCTCAAAATGTTAGTGTTTAAAGACTAGAGGTGATCAATTTTATGGGAGAAATAATTACAAGTACATATATAAAGTGATCTCCGTCTTCATATTTGCATGATCAGGGCATTTCATGTGGGTATTTCACCGCATCTTGATATTGGCATAAATCTATCACAGGGAGTCCAGTCCCTCAGATTGATCACCTCTCCATTTAGTGAAGAAAGAAGAAAGTTTGGGGCTTATATTGAACCGAAACATAATCAAACAATAAAAAACTTTGAACTAAGTTAGGTCTGGTTTTGCTTTTGTTTATTTGTGTATCTTTATTTGCTTATCAATTGAGTTTGAAAAGCTTACTCGAGACTGACGTTTGGAGATTAGATAAAAGATGATTGGCATCATCATCCATTTTGCTATCGGGCACGACCGCTATCCTGCATCATGTGTTATGAGCAGTGCTTTTACAGTTATAGATTGTTGGTTGTTAGGAAGTATTGTTATCCTGAGAGCGGTAACAGAGATATCTGCTCGATTGAGCTGAGTTGTGCTTCACCAGTCAGATATTGTTTAATGCCATATTGCAGTAGACTTAAACTTAGGCTTAGGCTCAGTTTTATATTGCTGTTAAAGTTAAGTAGTAAACGAAAGTGAAGAAAACTACTTGATGGTGAGCCGAAGTGTAGTTGTGGTGTTGCTGGTTCCTACTGGTTGTTGTTAGTGGGTTGTGGAATTAAAAGTTGAATTTGTTGAATGTAGAACGTAGGTGACTGGTAATAAACAACGAACGATGCTCAAAAAGAGTGATGAAGTGAACACAAGAGGAGTTTCAGTAGCGAAAGAAGTTAGCTGTAGAATATCAGCTCATCATTCATCTCATCATTTGTTCAGTTATTTGTCCATTCGTTTATCATCACTACCATTGAAAACTTGACTGTGTTAATCTCTCGACTCATCGCTTTCTGTCGTTCAGGGTCATAATCAAGTAAAATTATAGATTCGAATGATGTCCACTTTATAATCATCATCGTCATCGCAAAAAATAAAAATAAATTTAATTCGACAACTGTTAAATCGTTCAACTGCATTGCATCCATCTGTCTCCTTTATTAATCATTTCGATACGATTATATTGATCTGTACGCACGTATCTGATACCTTAGGGGTTATGTACTAAGAATCGAAGAACTCTTGCTCATCATCAATGCAAATGATGGCGTATTGATTCATCAGTGGTCATCTTGCTACCACTCTTCAGAAATCAAGAATCAGGATTTATCATTGCACTAAGTGATTATATTCACCCACGATGTATTTCACCACCCCAAAGCCTTACGGGCAGCAATCTACGGCATATCGCACAGTGAGTGGTACTGTACCAGCACGACCCGCGAGCAGCATGGCTGTTTTGATAACGCCAGCTTCTGAGAGGAATTTAGAAGATTCTTCCATACATGGTAGTAATAATCAGTCATCAAGAGTTGATCCTGCAAATCCTTCCAAACAATCCTCATTATCGTCAGCATTCAAAAAAGTCACAGTCACAGCACCTCCTCACCGAATCGGTACTGAACGTTGGATGCAAACCGGAATGCCGCAGAAAGGACGTTGGAATAGTTCAGTAGCTGTTTTTGATACGCCACAGAGTAATGAACCTCCAAGGGAGTTCGGTATTAATGCGAGACCGAAAGCATATTCCTCATTTCGTGACAGCAGCATTAAGAGCAGTGATAATAACAGGTTCCAGCAGTATCAGCAGCCAAACAACACCGAAATAGTCAACACAAGACCAGTGCCAATTCAGATCGATTCTCAACGGACACAGCCAAATCAGTCTGCGCTCGACATTGGAAGAAATATTCCAGTTCGGTATGAAGGAGTCACGGCTACCGTGCCATCGTCACTAAGTAGCTCCACTTATGGAGCTCCACATGACGGATTCCATACTACGATCCATCGTTATGCATCGGATCCACGTCGTCCCAGTTCTGCCGTACCATTCACTGAATACAGCTCATCGCAGATGACTGCTCCGTTCACATCAGAAACCGAGTCTCGTCAATTCGAAGAACGATCTGTTAATAGTGGGAATGGAACCGTGCGTCAACAACACGCATCTGAAATCCCGGTCAATTTCGATCGAGTTCAAACCTTTCCGAATCGACCTGCGAAACAACCATCCGAACGACATAATTATACGAGTCTTCACCGAGTTTCCTCACTGCGCCCACCTTTTTTCCAAAGACGTACCACATCCGAGGCGGATGTTTTCAGTAGTCCTGCATCATTCATTCCACCATCTCCTGCTCAAACTCCCCTCTCTTCTACCGGGGATCACTCGAATGAACCTTCGACCAATGCTATGGTGAATGTGGCTCGTAACGTGCGTGAAGAGCTGGAACAAGATCCGAAGTTTCGTCAACGTGCCGAATCGACCGGTGAGAAGGGTGCATCGCCTCGCCGTTCAAACCTGACTCAATCTCAGTCTTTTCATGCCCCAAAACAATCACCATCTTTGATTCAGATGGAGAATTATTTGTCCTACCAGCAACGTCATCAAAGTGAGATGGATCTGAATCGCACATCAACAATATCCCCTGCTACCAATCAGTTAAATTATCAGCAGATATTTAGTCCTGATATTGTTCGCAATATGTTCACTGGTGGATATTCACAACCTCACTCTCAAACCTCGAGTGAATCTAACCAGAGTGTGCCCTTCGAGGCGCAACAATCCCAACCCAGAATACCTTTCCGCTCACCAAATGCGTCACAGGATCAACCAACAACCCTCCAATCATCCGCATCCGATTCAGTGTACCGTAACGTCCCAATAAGAACCCAGCATGAACCGGTCAAGTCGTCGTTACGTGAACAACCGCATGTTGTCATGAATGGTTCTTTCCAGCGTCAGACCCTTTCCCATGGTTCAGCCGCTGTCCCAATACCGCCACCGAAACCTCAGTTGTATGCTATCTCTCCAGTAGTAACAACAACAACGACCACAAATAACGACCGTTATAGCACTGCCACCAATGCGACTAACAGATATGTAACTAATATTGATATAAATGCTAATAACGCCATCAATGATAACAATCAATATAACACTAGCAATATTCACAATAACGAGTTTCATGGTACGAACACAATTCGAGTGAAAACTGTTGCAGCAAATGGTTTTGAGGGGAAGGATAATCAGAAGGCGACATGTGCAGTGAGCAAAGATGCTCCTGCAGATGAGAAGGTGAAAAGTGCATCAAATGCGTCCGGTGGAGTGATACCTGAACGAGCCGTATTCATAACTCGACCTCGAGCGTTGAGAATCTCTTTTGATGATGAAGGTGCTTCAGCGGTTCATTCAACACATGTATCTATAACTACCACTCCCACTGGTATCCTTCAAAAAACAACTTGTAATACTAACGCCACCAAAAACGGTAATACCGATGATAATTCTTCATATTCTGTTCCTGATTCCACTTCTGCTGCTATTAAACCACAAAAACGGGTCGTTTTCCAATGTGATCGTGATCGAGAACAGTCTTCGCAAATTGCAGCTAGCGAAGCAGGAGTGTTGACTTCTGATGCCTCTGCTTCATACACCGCTTCCCAAAGCGTTTTATCCTCAGGTAAGAGAAAATCGCATCCGAGCAAATGGAGGAGCTTCTATGGATGGAAGGAGCTCCATTCGACTGGTTGAATATTACTCACTAATTCTAGATATTTTTATGTCCGACTCATTTGTGTTTTCTAATATTATATTTATACGTAATTATAAACAAACAATGGGTTCCGCTGAGGTAATGCCTATGTTATAAGTTGACTCAGAATGCACATACAAAAACAATTTCTATCAACGATAAACTATATCATAACCTTTAATCTGCATATTCCTTTCTAAATTCTGATAAATTTCAGTTAATCAAGAAGTACCGCCTTGTATACGACAGTATGATGATGCAATCGAAGAGCCTTTACAACGATTCCTCAAACTAAGCTCAGATATCGGCGCTGATGTCAAAACTGCGGTATGATGGTCGCCCTCTTCATATATCATTCTTAGGATTTGGTTTATTTTTTGCCATGCTCGAAATCCCTTCCAAATAACAAATTGAAGTGGCATTTAAGGGTGAAAAAGTGTCATTGGCCTTTACACAGCAACGAAACTTTATTTGGAATGCAGCAGGTCAGAAAGAACCAAGTCAAGCAGAGTTAGCGAATAAGTTGAGTGGCTTGGTGAAATTGTTAGAGGAGTTGTCAGCGTTTAGAGAATCGAAGCGAAATACACCTCAATTTAATCACCTTTCTGCGGTGAGTGAGGGCATTCAAGCACTTGGATGGCTTACCATGGTCAGTTTTCCTTTCTTTTGATTGGTCATTATTTTACTTTAATCTCAATTTCAGTGCTAATTAAGGCGCCATTAATAGTTGTGGCCGTATGAGTTCATACAGGAGTATATTGAATGCTAGAATGAAGAATGTGGTAATAAAGTTGAAATTGCAGAAACCAACACCAGCACCATTCATAAAAGATATGAATGAAGCGTCGATGTTCTTCGTGAATCGTGTTCGTAGCGATAATAAAGATGGTGATAAGGTTTGTCGTTCCAATGCTCATTCACCACCCAGCATTCTTTAATTTATGTTGCCTTCGTCATGATGTAAGGATACGAGAACGACTGCAAGCTGATGTTAACAAAGTGATTTATTCGAGAAGGATGTCATTTTTAACATAGAGTGTATTTCAGATCCATTCTGAGTGGACAAAGTCGTGGATTGAACTGTTGAACGCGTTACAGCAATACGTTCGTCAAGTGCACACAACAGGTCTTGTGTGGAATAGCAACCCTGTAAGTCCAATATTTTGAATTCCCAATCAAACATCCTTTTCAAAGCGAGCTCTCTTTCCAGGGTACATTCGCACCTTCGTCTGCAGCAGCCATAGCATCAGCTCCGGTACCTTCTGGTACCGCAGGCGGTCCGCCACCCCCTCCACCTCCGCCTCCTATGCTTCCTCCAGGTCTGTCTGCACGTGCAGCTGATTCTCAGCATAATTGCATAACTGCATAACTACATTTTCACAATGTTGCATTAAAAATTGTTCTCTAAATAAAATTTTGCCTTTATACTAGTTGATCAAATGAAAAATCACTCACCGTATGGCTTTGATACACTGATGTTTTAAATCGCAGAAGTTTTTGATGCCCGTGGAAGAGCGATAGCATGTTGTTATTGCTATGTGAGGCAAAGATTGAAGTTCTTTTGAGATCTCCTATCAACGACCGCCAATCCTTCGGAAGCGGGTGGTGCAGCAGGTCGTGCTGCGTTATTTGCGGAGATCAATCGAGGAGCTGACATCACAAAGGGTTTGAAAAAGGTCACTGCCGATATGCAAACACACAAGAATCCCGCCTTGAGGACACAGGTCGCCTAATTTCTTCACCATTTCACACTTCTCATCGCTTTCTTTCTGTTGATCTCACATTTCTGTTCATTATTTGCTTCCATTTAGTCCGATGGCATCTAAGATCTGAGTAATTATCATGTCGAACGAATTATATCTGAACAAACTGAAGGATTGTAGCTTATCAATTTCTTGTTTATCTTATCTGAAGTTACCTTTTAATGAAACGGTTAAAATTTTAAGGTTCCAGCTCCGGATGATGTAATAAAATCAGGAGAACAGCATGTATCATCAAAGGATGCTGGCAAGAAGGAAGAAGTTCAGAAGCCTGCAAAAACATGGCTGGAAAATGGGAAGCAATGGAATGTGGTACGTTGACTTATACGAATATTTGTACCTCAAGAAACTAGAAGAACATATTGAAAAAATAACGAATGACTTGATTATGTTTTTCAACACATATCCTTATTTAAATGACTTTAATAGCCTAATTGCGTAATAATGATATGTAAAGGGTATAAATTTCAGGAGTATCATAAAAACAATCCAAATATTATTGTTGAAACAACAAACATGAAACAGACAGTGTATGTGTTCCGGTGTGAAAATAGTGTTATACAGGTGAATGGGTGGTATTGCTTCATTATCTTGTTTTCGACAGTTACAATGGTCTGATATGAGAATGAACATGTAGGATGGTAGTTATGAATCGGTGTTATTTCAGGTGAAAGGTAAATTGAACTCGATAACATTGGATGGTTGTAAGAAGACTTCAATTGTTTTCGATAGTCTTCTTTCTCAAATTGAAGTGATCAATTCACAAGGCATTCACATTCAGGTTCGTATTTTATGCTTGCACGTTTCATCATTGAATTTCCTTCGTATCCGAATCTCACGACATATTCTCATTGGTGATCGCTGTCATCTTAATCAAGCGATGCATTGTTATTACAGTTGTATGTTTATTCGGATGTTGTGCATTCGAGTTGTGTGTATCTGCACTGTCGTCATCGTCATCAAATGAAATCAAGTGTGGAATTTCAGACTCTTGGAACAATGCCAACACTCTCTATCCAAAAGACTGATGGATGTGAGGTGTATTTGAGTAAAGAGGCAATCGGTGCCGAAATCGTCACTAGCAAATCGTCGGGAATGAATGTTCTTGTGCCTCAAGGATCAGAGGGCGACTTTGTAAGTATTTCTCATCCTCATTCAGTTTCAACGTAATGAAATCTGAGGTTTTAGCAAAGGTTCTGGCATGAATTCAAAAGGTATACCTCCTTCACTCTTTTTCTAAAAAGCTGCGCTTGGTACTAATAAAATAGGAATGAAAGAAAATTTGTAAATTTGCCAAGTTGAACATGAATATGAAGAGTTTGTTATTTGGTGGATTGATTAAAAAGAAATCGATGGAGGTGAAACGTTGCATGAGTTAATAGATTAATATAAACATTCAAAACATAGACCGAGTTCCCGATCCCGGAGCAATTCAAGACGGTTTACGATGGTAAAAAACTGCAGACGACTGCATCGGATATTGTTTAAGAACGATCGATGAGACTGCAGTGAATTGGATATCGTTTATTGAAGTGCTGCATTCTGTTATGATTAATATTGTGTTTATTTTGTAGCGAATGTGATAATAATGGTAATGATTACGTTGTTGTTAGCATTATTGTTACTGGTATTAAAAGTTCAACTACCGGTGGAATGGTCACTGTCGAATGCTTTTTGATTTTGCATTTTGAGTTCGTTTCATCATGCCTTCTGCCTTCACATAATGTGTGCTAAGTATATTATTCGTTCTCTTCATTAGTTACTTCATTTTACTTTGTTCCAATTTCTCATTTTCTCCAAACAAATGATAAGTATCATAATTGCCGTTTTATTAATATTATTAGTTGGACTAAGCTAAACTCAAAACGAACTTCCCTTTATGTTTCGCGTATGGTTGGAATAACGCTTTAAACGTTTTAATTCAAACGTCTGTCTATTTGTAGTCGCTTATTGATTTCTTTATGAATAATTCGATTATCATTTTCAATTTTGCATTTTTAAAACAATTTTTCAATCGTTCTCTGTGTTTTATTATACTATGCCATTGAATCGTTATGATATTTCCATCCATCGATTCATAATACTTCAGTTGTTGCTTTCAATGCAGCAATTATTAAAGAATTTCTCAGTTTGATGGTACTTATAGATCGGATTTGAAATAACTCATCCCTTGTTTGAGGTTAACGTGAAGAGGTATACGTAAACATCTCCATGAAGTGGCGTACCACATCTCCGTGAGACGCTCTCGTTGACAAAATGTCAAACATTTCTTTTTGATGCCCTTACCAACTCAACCGTAAAAGGTTGTTCTTCATTGAATTTTCCGCGATCCGAATCCTAAATCTCAGATTATTACTATTCTTCTTTTATTTATTATGAGACATCTGAATATATGAGTAATCTTGAAGCGCTCAATTCTTAACTGAATAAATTCAATCATTAAATCATTATTGTAATTGATTCTGTTCTTTGCATGAAGAATGAATAGATGATCTTTTATTTCGAATAAATTCCTTTCAGATTTACCCTGCTTTTGATCCCAATCAAGTATTGATCTGATGCAATAGCTTAATCAAGGGAAAGAGTTGTTAAATCTACATAAACTTGAATGCACGATGGTACCGAGAGCGAATGATTCGAACCGAGCAATGTGAAAAATACCATAAATATAAACAGCAGAGGAGAATGGAATGGGTGAAGAAAATGGAAGGGAAGAGAAAGTCGAGCAGATCATAATAACAGTCTGTATCCGAATCATAATTGCAGTCAATCAGTGCTTCGCAACCGTTTTGAAAGAACATCTCACACGCCGTTTGTTAACATCTTGCATCGCACGTGCATTATCTCCGACCACGGTTCGTAACATCTCTAGCTTAAACAACAATACATTACAATGCGAGTCCAGTTGACTGCGATGCGTCAGACCTGTTGCATTCCGATCGGTATAGGACGATGTAGAATTGTCCAGAGTGCGCATTCAGAAAATGGCGGTACCGTTATCGATCCTTCGTATGTATAGTAGTGAAGCTTATCTACAAATTATGCTTCTTGGATTTGTGTCTCGGGAACGTGATTGTTTATTGAAGTAGTATCTATTGAAGTATGAGATAGAAAGTATTCAAGGGGTTGTATGTAGTAACCAGGTAATAGGGATGAAAAGTCAAAGTTTTGGGGTATCGGGATGGGTTCTTCTTTAGCGAGTGATTCCTCGATAGCGCTTAAGAGTGGAGTGAATTTGCTATTGTCTTCAGCGTCCATCTGCAAAACCGTTCAATTTAACGAATGTTATTTATTCAGCATGGGAATTTTCGCAGAAATATGTTTACACGTGCAATGAATCACAAATGAAATAACATAAAAACACATCAGAAATGAACTCATTTCTGATGGAGCAGCTTGCAAAACTGTAAGATAATACCAAAGTTCATGCGAAAATGAATACAAGTTCACAAAGAACCAGAAAATCTCAAACAACATTCGACTATGTGTGGTTTCGAATAATTAGATGAAAACGAGATCCATCAACGCAAGGCAGATAGATCTGTGGCCATCTGACCTCACTCTACCCCAACCATCATTTAATACATCCTAGCGACTTACCAGAACAAAAACAGCGAGTATTGCTATTCCATTTGATTTCTTTAACGCTTCTTCATAGGTTTTGTGTTCTGTGTCCCAGAACATGAAATGCAGCTGCAAAGAGAATATAACTTTTGCTCAACAGTTTATCAGTTCCATAATCCCATTTAACTGTTCCCTTAAAACACCTAAATTAGTCACCTCTCCAGAAAAAGCACGTCCATTAAGCCTGTGTTCACTGCCATCCTCCTCGGTACCGCCCCAATGGCCGTGGAACTCTCTAAATCGATATGTGGCTGGTAAATGACTACCAACCAAAGCTAGAAAAGCATCTGTAGGTTGCTGTTCATGAGAGGTTCAATTATCCATTAATATTCAAACGAAACACTAAAGTTCAAGTCTAAAACACTTGATTGTTATGCATTCCACTCAGTGATCATCAGCAACTCTGATGTCAATTGAACAATTCGCATTATAGCCACTTAACCGCATACACCTACAGCAATGATATAATGAAAGTGCCAACTTGATGTTGCTGTTTCCTTCATTTTCACACTGAATCCTTTCTCCTTGATCTGAAACCTCAATTCATTCACTCCAAAGGAACAATGAATCAAAATATTAAACCTCAACAGTGGTTGCATCGCCGAGAGTATATGAAAATTTGAGTTGTGACGATTTCAGTGTGGGGTCGTAATCGATGATTTGTTTGGTGATATTAATCGGACTTTGTTTCTCGCCACTGCTACCTTCGTGCTCGTCTCCTACAAAAGCATACCGCTGTATGTTGATCGTCATTCTCATGCTCATAGTAACCTACTAAGATATCACCTTAAAAGTCATTCGAATCAGTATTGCTTTTAAAGTTATCTTCGTTGATTTCATCCATTCGCATTTGTCCCATTATCAATACTATCCATCTTTGCAGCCCTTTAGATAAATGATCTACATCCCTTTCAGGTGTTCCACATATTTTCTTCAGCAAATGCCTATTCCGTGCTCAGTTCGTCAATATTATTTGAAATTGTGCCATTTTACTTACAATTAGACTTATAATAAGTTAGATGCGTTTATAAAAGCAATGCCAATTAAAATCAATGAACAAAACGTCTATCAAAAAGTATGGAAGAATATACCACCTGATCCATCAAAAGATCTGCTCGAAAATTGTGAGTAACCGAGCATTCTATGTAGCGATTGTTTGGTCTGAAACTAAGATTCTGATCTCAAATTTTGTAAGTCAAATAGAAGGCGTGCGCTTTGCACAAAGTTATTTGCGAATAGAAATTGAATAAAGCGATTGCAAACGAATCGGAGCTGTAAAAATATATGAGCAGCAAATAACTCTGCGCTTTGCACAAAGTTATTTGCGAAAACCGTTTAATTGTACGCACTGCGCAATTAAACGGTTGATCATAAATAGAACATAAATTCATCGACTTCCGACAGCATTTTAACATTCCAGCGAGGGCCCATAATTGAATATTCACTTTCTTCCACTCATTTTATAATTCTAGCGATACAAATGTTGAATCGTTAATGATATAGAATCGTCAAATTATCGGAAACTTGCGCATTTCATCAAAGAATCTGGGAATGAACATGGAAATGGACACTTGCAAACAGCAAACAGCCATGCGATCAGATAACCAGATTATGAAACGGAATACAAAAAGCGCAACAACGCGAGGCTCATAAGCGAAAACTCACACTATCATTGAATAACCAGAAGCAAATTATCAATTAGTATTTGACGAACTAGTCGATCAGGTGGTAAAGGGTGGAGAGACTGGGTGAACAAATTTGATCAAAACGAAATCAATTGCACAAATGTTTTGATGCCATAAGCAGTTTCAGTGACAAGAGATTTAAGTAATGAAATTGAGATTTGATGTTTCTTAAATTGCAACTGAGCATCAACAACGCAAATACAACTAATTTCGAATCGAGAAGAGCAACATGTAAGACTGAAATTAATTGTTGCGAAGGAATGCTAGGGTATGTTGTGTAGGGCGTGTTCATTTGAGTGAGAGCAAAACTAGGTGAAGCAGATTTCAATATCCGCATGAGTAAAAGCGGATATTTTTGTCACCATTTCAACTATGAATTACATGCCATTTGAAACCTGAAGGCAAAGCTATAGTTTAGTTGGAAGCGCTGAACATGATGAATGATGTGATAGTTGAAATGAGGATTTGTGTGATGATAACGATGATTATCATGCATAATAACTACTCGGTGTTGTGGATATCATCGTGGCTCTGCGCTGCTTTTATCTGTTATTTTGACTACTGCAGCTGGATGCAAAACACATGCAGTTTTTCAATATCATGTTAAAAGTACTGCAGTCAGCAGATAATCACGAATTGGGATATATCTTTTCCTCCTCCTTTCCACTTTCTTCTCCCGTTCTTTCTCCCTTTCTTGCACCCTCCTAAGGAGGAAGGGTAACGTCCCTTGTGTTCCCCTGTTGACTACGCCACTTTGATTCTTACTTCGTTAGTCGTCAAACAACGATGAAGAGTGGCATAAAAATAGTAATGGTTTCGAAGAGAGCAGTTCAGTACCTTGTGAAAATAAAGTCTTTTTATAGTATTGATTGAACGTAGTCAACATATTCATTCCTTTGTTGTGGGAACCATAAAGATAGTCTAGTTGTGGGAACCATAGATATAAAAAATTAATATATANATATATACTAGAATGGTAGATCAAATAGTAATGTATTTTTATTGACAGTTATCTGCGTAAGCATTACGACGACCGTCAGTGATTCAACAATATGTTCCTGAAGATGACATAACGCCGAAACGTTGAACATCGCAAAAACCATCTCTAATTGCGCTGATAATACTTTGTCAATAAAAACTTTGATCTACCTATTACCGCCATGCGCCTTATAAATGAGGAAAACTTCCAAGAATTGTTAAATCACTAGAACGGTAGTAAATGAAATACGATCTTGAGAGATAGAACCGAAACGTGAGCATTAACATATCTCCGAATGAACGGCGGACAACTGTTGCAGTAAAGATAACTTATTAATGAGGATGGTGAGTTCGATGAGTTCATATTGTTAATTCGAGCCTTCGGTTATTGCTGTGCGAAATGTGATTCTGATGAAAATATTATCACTGTTACGGAGCGTGAAGAGTGCGGGAAATGAATGGTGACTGTATGATGAATAGAGCTGTGCATTGCGACTTTACGATTTGGTATGGGTGCTTTTCGAAGAGGAAATTGGGAACCATTGAAATTTGAAATGAAACGATCGGATAGCATCTGCTATCCGATAGCACCTGCTATCCAATTAAGCGCTTAATTGCCTTTCAACTGCAGTTTTCTGCTGAACCAAAACGAATCGTTCCTTTATTCATCCTCAAACTTAGATTCATAGTTGATAACTGCCTTCAAGCGATAATTAACTATGTTCATTTTCGCTTGGGCACACCCCTTCAATCCTGCTTATTTGATCTAAACAATCCCTTGACAAATTATGCTTTAACTCATAAATGTGCTCACTTCTAATTATGACTGCATCCGAAGTGCAGTCGAAGTAAAATGAATATGTGATTATGCATCAGATGCATGATGAAATTCAAACGAATCGAGATGTGAAACTGTTTTACTGGATGTTCATTAAGAAATGATATCGATACAAACACAATTTTAATTATACGCTATAAGAGTGAATCGTGTCTTTTAGCGTCATCGAAACAACTTCAAACCTTCAATTACTGGTATGTTTAAACTCACAATCAGACCAGCACAACCAACAAAATGTCACTTCAAATTATTATTGCAAGTAATACCCACAGAGTGCAAAGCGGATATAAACTTTGAAGCTATCAGCATAAAAACAATTATGATAAATGTAAAATTACTTTGATTCACAAGAAAATATCAGTGAACTGACAATCAGACTAATAATTATGCGCAGCGATATGATCACTTCTTTTTCGGTACTAATTTAAACGAACTTCTTACCCGTCGATCGTTGACTGATTGCATTTCGCGTGCATTATCACCAGTTACCGTGCGCAGAATGTTCAACTGAAATATTTGCGTCGCAACTTATTAAAACACTGCAATGCGAATAAATCATTGCGAGAATACCTTACTAAATCATACCATTTGCATGCGACCACTCAAAGGAACTGCAAATGAAGATTGAAGATCGATTCATGACCTGTGAAATCCCGATAGGAATCGGTCGATGGAGAACAGTCCAGATGACGCATTCTGTCGTGATTAGATAATCACGAAAAGGAAAAGAGTTTAAAATACGAAAAGAAAATGATTCATGAATTTACAACGTTACCATAAGGAGACTGAACAAAGGCAAGATAGGAAATGTGATAAGAAGGGCATCAAATATAAGCCATCATAAGGATTATTAATAGAAACGAATAAGAACAACATGAGAATATGAATATCGAAAGTAAGAATGGCGAATCATTCATCCCACATTTCTTGTTCTGTACGATTTATCTGTATCGTTGTAGATTATTGCAAGCC